TGCAACCAAATTGCCCAACTCAACGAACAATTCAACTGCTATAAGACACAATTTTAAGATTTCGCAAGACATGATAAATTGATGTGTTCTGAAGCACTGGAGTTTTCTTGCATGAAGCAGAGCGAGAGCGGAAATGATAAAACAGCCTTTTTATGGTAGATTGCGTACTTTATCAAACAACGTTTATAGATCAACTCGCCCATCACCAATAATCAGTAGGCCAATGTTTTTGGACTAAAACAGATAAAGCGTGCTGTCGGTGACACTTTTATAAAGAACATTTAACAATGAAACACTGAGCATGGAAAGGATGAATGGTCATTCACTTATTCCGACTGCCAGCATGTATCGGTGAAACACCAGTGTGAGTAACATTGTTCGTCATAAGATACTGATATCCTGAAGGTGCTTTATTTACTAGTTATCATTGAGATAGTCTAATTCGATGACATTTGTGGGTTACTGAAACCATAAAGCCAATTGGTATAGAAATAACGTAAACAGTCACTCATCGTCGAGATATTCTACCTCCGCAAAAACTGCTTTGCTAAGCAGGTTAATGTTTATGCTCGGATACAAAGTGTGCAAACATCTGGCATGAAGTAGAAAGAAGGTAGATATCTGTTATCTGCAAAATAACACTTGTTTTTAATAACCATTTCGCTAGGTGGATTGCAGTGCATGTGCATTCGACAATGCCACCCAGAATAACCGGTTTAGTGACGATTTCAGTGGTGTTGAATGCACTTTATTAAAAATGCAATTATGATTTTTGCTTAAGTTTACGCATGTTTCATGAAGTTCATTGAAATTGAATGAGCTCACAAGACAGAAGTAATGAACAAATAACGGGACCACACAGTTGGGCGAAGGATATCTGTTGAGACAGGATTTAACTAGCTAACAACTGCCAGCATTGGACATTTAAACTATGACTGCTGTGCGCCGATACTAAGTAGCAGGTCAATTGGTTTATATCTCATGACCTTAGTCAGGCTTCTCAGGCAGCTATCATGCTAAACATATTGGATTCTCGTTGGCCAGTAGCTTAGAGGTAACGAGCTTGTCTCGTAATTTTGCGGCGCGGGTTCGAATCCGCGTTGGAGTGGGAGTCCTGGCGGTACACGCAGCCCGCGTGCGACTGGTGGTGGTCGCACGACGGCGAAGTACCGTTAAGGCGTACGGCTGACACATTATTTATTTATTTATTTTATATTGGGTTCTCGATTTCTCCTCTAAATTTCGAACATGTATTACAAGATGGCTCCCATTAGTTAGCTGGTGGCCATGCTTATGCTCCCAGTTTAGTGCTTTTGACTGCGTTTCAAAGCAGAAAATTAAAGTTACCTGTATTTTCGTATTTATTTAGGGAGAGTTAATTGTGGGATGACTCTCGGCGACATTGCTTTGTGATGACAGCCAATTAAAATAACCGGGTACTTTAAAAGAATCTGGAATTATTAAAACAAGCGCTATTGTCTACTTGGCAAGAGTCAGTTTCAAGTGAAAGTGAAGTGCTCAACCGAGAGAAAAGAGATACTAGTTGTAGGAGGGCGGTTAACGCAAAATTATTGGGACATGCTAGAAATGCCACAGTTTGCCTATTCTGTTATCGTTCAAGATAGCTGTCACACTCAAAAAATCTAATCCTTTGAAATGCACAGGTTCAACCACCCAGCCCACTATGCCATGCTCAACTGTCCACTTGACGAGTTAAGTAATATGTTACCATATTAATAGAAGAAAAACCTGATGTATACCAAGAATGATGAACTCCACAACTAAGGTATGCAAAACAATTAGATTTTAAACAGAAATAATTATAAAATCAGTTTTACTACGATACCACTATAGTTATCGGAATCTTTGGATAATTGCTAAACCGACTTTAGGCTTACTAGGAGCTTCAATTAATAGCAATCACTTAGATAGTACAGCAGCATGAATATCCCGGTAACCACCACCATCAGGCATTTTGTGCCAGATAATACTTTTTGATTAATTTAAATGGAAATGGAAATCCATTAGTATGAACTTAACTATCAAGCTATCCGGTTACAGACTCTTGCAGCGCAGAAAATAACATAGGTTGCATAAAGCATTGGATCCTTTTGAACACGTAAAAATATTCGAAGCGAAGTGCAATCGGTAGAGCTGTGAATTGACAGCTTTGGGAGCAAGTGGTATCGATGATTTCTTAATTATATAGTCACAGCCGCTTAAGCTGTTACCTCAGTCGAGTGCAGAGTATATACCCCAGTTACAATCAGGTGCACATTAGTTAATTTTCCTGTTTCCATAAAAGCCGCTGGGATTTAGATTAAAAGGCATATATATACAACATAATATATATGTCAATGTTTATATATATATATATATACGCATGTATATAATGCATGTATATACGCAATGTAAATATCTAATGTTTAAGATTTATCATCATGCAAGGATGTCTTGTGCTTTTGATGCCGCTTGTGCTTTCGGTGTTTTGTGGAGCATTGTATTGATGGTGTGTTGTTGAACATCCGTCGTTTCGGTGCCAGAACCCTAGTCTGTGAGGAAATTATCCGTATTTTGCTGTTCACTGACGGGTGCAAGTTGTTTACACACAGCGCGGATGAGTTGCAGCACATGATTAATGCTCTGGCTTTTACGACGTCCAACTTCGGCCTCATCATCAACACAAACAAGACTGTATTTTTCCAGGGTTGAACCGGAATAGAGTCCGTGGGGCTGCCCCAAATCCAGATGGCCAAAGAAATGTTGGAAATCACTTGAGATTTTGCCACCTTGGTAGCGTAAATACGACCGCTCAGTAAATGACGAGCAAGCTGCGAAGCCACTTATCGAAGTCGACTGCTGCTTTTGGAAAGATAGAATGCAGTTTTTGCAACAAACATCAGCTGCTTGTTGGGACAAATCTGCTGGTATGTAAGTCTATACGGCAGCGAAACCTGGACGCTTTATCGGAAGGATGTCCGATATCTGGTGCGCTTCCATCAGCAGCGTCTACGCAGTACGATGCGCATCGCCTGGAGTGACCGAGTTGCGGACACGGAGGTGCTCCGACGCAGTGGCATGTATGCAATATACTACATACTTCTCCCGAGGCACCTGATGTGGCTTGGACATATTCGCCGCATGAATTCGACCCGGATACTGAAACGGCTGCTTTATGGCCAACTGAGTTCAGGGAAACGGCATGTGGGAAAACCGAAGTTACCTTACAATGACATGATCAAAGTGAGTCTATCACGTTCTAATTGCGATTCCAGGTGTTGGGAATTGAAGGCGGTTGGTCGGCGTGCATGGCACGACCTAATCACCAAGGCAGTTGACGAGGTGCAAGAGAAATCCCTTGTACATGCAGAGAGGAAGCGCCAATTACGAAAGCGACAGGCGTCGATGGGCTGCACGCCACCGACTTCGAGTGCATGGTGCGGTCGCGGATGCCTGAGTCAGGCAGGTCTAGTGAGCCACGATCTAACCCACTCAGGACCAGCATCAAAACGACGACGAGTTTTGCTTAAAATGTAAGCAGAAACGACGCAGCGTTGTTAGATAGGATGTATTCGATTTACTAACGGCGTGCGAGCGCGCTGAGTATCTTATTTCACGTGGTTTGTTTGTTACTTTGCTTTGTGTTATGTTGTTACCTTATGTAACATGTACCTGCATAATCCATTACACTGCAAATTTCGCTTAAACTAAAGGTGGTTAACTTAGCCTATTTTTTCTCCTCCTTACTTATGTATCACGATCCCATTTCTGCCGTCCCGAATCTATTACGGGTATTTTGAAAAGGCATTCATATCATATGCTAATTTAGCGGCATTTGCGTACGGTGTATTCGATCAAGTTTATTATACATTTCATTTCCTTTGATTGGTTGTTGTTTGCCATCCCCGGTGTGGCTGCGCTTGACGTGCATGTTGACAATACACTCAACCTCGTCCATACTGGCTACCGGAGACGGTATGCACGGTCCTCGTAGCCGCGCCGGCCTCGAAGTGGTTCCAACCAGTGTGAAGCGGACTAACCTCCAGCCACCGCCTTGTGTGTGCTTGACTTTCAAATACAGCGCACTTGTTTTGGCCTCTGAAGGAGTGTCGACTTGCTCCGTTGATGAAACGTTGCTCCCATCCTCATGCCTCCCGGTCTTAGTCCTTCGTGTTTACATTGGATCTGAGGTGTGTGGATGGAGCTGAACAATGAACAATGATTTATAACGGGTAAAAAGCATATGCTTGACCGGTCCCGTAGGGTGGTTGGAGCAATAGATAAAATGGAAGGATGGTGCAGCGCAAACCACCCGTGGTCCTTCCTGTGGCTGTCCCGTGGAAGCCACAGTGACAGGCATATCCGCAACCGAATATCACCAACAATATAGATATATATATAGTAATCGAGCAAGTGAAATTGTTAACAGTTTGAATAGTTTAAACAAAGTCGGCATATTTTATTGAAATACACAAAGTTTGAGGAATATAATACTTCGCATTACTTTAAATGTCCAGCAGTTACTGTTCAATAACACAATAGGGGTTTCGCTTTTTAAAATCTCTTTAAGCTACGAAACGGTAATTGCACTATTTCCACACTTCAAGCTAAAAGTAGTTCGTCAGCCGCATATGGTCACACAACCTGGATTCAGGACAGCATTGCTGCATACAGCTCGTGCCAAGGAATCCGGCCTTTCGATTAACACATCACTCTCGAACTGGAGCTATTAGAACTTGCGTTCTTATTCTGTTTTGCTCTTCTAGCAAGGAAAACGTTCTAAATATAAGCTTTAGAGAAAAATCTTCAAAAAATTTACACCTTTCATGTCCACGTAACAAGTACTACAGCATTAGAGAGACGGCTGCGATTGAGGAAAGTTTGTGTAAGTTTCGATCACAGCAGTGGCGGGAAATTTATTTTCTTTATCCATGCTAAGCTTCACCAGTCGATAATAACGTCTCGGTATGTTACGTAAGAAATAGTTTGATATTACTTACTCCTCTGGTTTCGCGTATCGTCTCAGCTCTGTCGTAACAATAGTTTCCGTGTCTTCTGGTTCGGCAGATATACCGATTCCTCGCCTTCGTGGGTAAGTCGATGGTATTTGATGGTTCTGTCCTGTCATGACATCGTCCTCGAAACCATTTCGAAACGCACTGATCAAGTGCGTCTGCCGCGAGAATACACTTTGATATTTGTCCAGTAAACTAGTTAAGTCATTTAACCGAGTTTCTCTGGCTGCCAATTCTGTCTTCAGAGAAAGAATCTCCTGTCGTTGTTGTTCTACCAACAATTTTGTTTTGTCCTCTGGCATGACTTTGCATCCCAGCCACTCAACTCAACAGCGAGAATTAAACGGATTGAAAAAATCTCCGTAGAGTAGTATATCCTAGAAACTGCACCACTTAATGAAATGGACCAAATAACCTGCTGAGACTGATGAAGCCGAATTATCCTTTAAAAATGTATGTAGCAGTTGAGATAATCTGACCAGTGAGATGTAATTACTTATCAAGTTCCACGGACCAATGAGAGGCCTAGACGGAAATCCAAACGTGAGTGGTCTGTAAGGCATAATCGATCCGGCGGCGTGGTGCAAACTTTCTATGGGCATCTGTAAAGTGAACGAATGTGACAGGTAGCTATTCTCGTGTGTAAAACATCACGACAAGAACTGATGCTTATTTAGCTGACTTTCAGTATCCTCATTCATCTTTAAGCATTTGTAAACGATATCTAAGCTACATGTGAATGATAGTATTAAGCATACATTAAGTGGAAAGGCAGAGAGTCTAATTTTGCGCGACAGGCAACATTGAGCTGCTTTTTCGGGAATTCCTATTCGCAGAGCTCTAATAAATCGCATCACAATTTTGTTAAATGCAGATGTTATTCTTTTTAACAAGGCATGATTGTCAAACTCAAAAGATTTTCCCGAATGCTGTAGTTAGCTCTTTGAAACATTGGTGTTTTGCAAAGGTATCCGATACATGCTTTATAAAATGAGAACAGAAAACACTGAATACCCCGTTGAAAATGGTGAATAATGGTTAGTTAAATCAAACGGACCGTCTTTAGTTCTGGTACACTTGCTCCCTTGCCTACAGAGAAGAAGCTCGAGAGCATAATGGCACTTTAGATAATGGGCATCTCATGTCCATCCACACAAACTTAAAAATGGGACATTGGGCAGAGCGTTTACTTTAAATTGCGGTTGACTGCAGGCAACGGCGATGCAGCGCTTATCCAGTAGTTCATCTAATTAATGCCAAACATAAGCCTTCTTGCTTTAGGCTTCAGAAGGACGAAACGTTTCTTCAGCACTTTAAGCGTTAAAGATTTAAGTTACAGAATTCTCTGGACCTTAAGATCCCTCAGCATTCGCTTGGCCATGACTGGTCAAATAGCTGATTTTCTGAAAGTTGTGTATGAGGCTTAAAGTGAGTATAGAGCAAATAGAAATGGGTGCGCCAATAGCGGATTCGCATATCTGCGGTTTTCTCTTATTTTACAAAAGTATAGGCATAACTGTGCTTTCCCACGTGTAATGGTTAGGACAACTAAGCACTCTGTTTGGTCACGTTTTCTCTGTAACAGGGTAAACCAGTTGGTGCGCATTTATGTCATGTTAACTACCGTGTGTTTTTCACTTCATGTATTTTAACAAACGTAGCATCATGACAACCTAATAGATTGAAGCGGGTTTGACATGGATAGTTAAGGAAATAGGACTGGAAAGTAAGGGAATATTGAATTGTAACAAATCGAGACGTAGTAGGCGGTAGCCTGTGAAATCTAGTATCGACGCTGTTACTTTTAGACATTCCACATGGTGACTTGGACATCATCAACGGCGCATACCCACATTCATTGAGGTCTGCAGAAGGCACACTTGAAATTATTTTGGTCGGCTTTTCATACCAGTGCATGCGTAATTAAACACCATATGATTTACTGCCTAGAGTCAGCCTGTTTGCCATAGCATAGTCATATTATGCGATGCACATGACCGTAATAATCAATCTTTTGCTTCCTTTTTCGACGCCCATGAGAGGTGGCCGCGCACTGGTGTCATTCCACAAGGATTAGTCATGGTCGCACCTTGCACGACGTCCACGCATCTTTTATATTCCCTTCGCCTGCGAAATAACGGATATGGTCCTAATGCTTTAGCCTGAAGTACATGCAAAGTTAGTTGATTCTTTAGAAGTCAAATAATTACAACTAATTAAGCGTTGAGGACGATGACGCTACTTGCTAGTTCACCATGTTATGGTTGGGAAATCATCCTTTGGCAAGGAAATGTATACCCTTCTTTGGTGGCCAGAGAAAAATATGCTGTTTGTGGTAAAGCTTTTAGTCAAACGAAGTTGAATAAAACTTATACCTTTAAGTTGTTAACCGCTCCATTTCTTTGAACAGTATTTTCACAAACTTTATTTCTTAGATGGCAAAGTTAACTGTTGTCTTGCCGCCACGATATTGCAGGCTCGCAATAGCTCAATACAGACATTTATATCCTCGTACTTATGACTCCAATATTGGCTCTCACATCTCACAATTATTTTTCAATGTCGGTTCGGTAAATTGTTTTCGCTGGAACCGGGTTACTGAGTTTACTTACTTTAGTGCTCCTTTTATGGCTACGAAAGAGGAGGAAAAGCCAACTGAGGAAGGTTATATTTAAATAACATCCGGCCTAATCTGTATTAGAGACTCGTGAGGGCTTATCGAAGCGAAGATGGCTTTGTGAGCGGTTGTGGTGCTCAGCCCGAGTCAGGCGCCGACAGCTGCACTTGGATGCATTTTATCGCATCCTCCGTGCCGTGGTTTTGATTGGCTGCCGCATCGCGTAAGCCACACGAGTCGACCCCACTTTGCACTCATGTGTGCTTTTGATTGTCCTCTAGTAAGCTGGCCTGAGGTGCAGCTTATAAACGGAGTTTTCTAGGTCCAAGCAAAGTTCTTGGACTTGGTACTTGTGGTATAGCCAAGCAACATATATGTCAGCCAGCTCATAATAACACGCTCAAATACGTCGTGCATATACTTAATGGTAACCACCTGTGAACAGCATGAATATGACATTTGGATCCTTGGGCTTCTGGTGACAAGCGACCACTCAGTTTTTTAAAGCATGGAGCTATTATGGCAGCAATCCTACGTATTGTAGCCAGGTTGCAAATACTGGAAGATGTATTTCGACGGCTAGACTCAATCCGCGAGGCAATTGGGTTGGTTTATGCAGCAATCTTTGTCTGCTGAAAGTTGCTTCGCAGTAATATAAGATGCTGTTACCTCATTTTGTAACCGGCATGTCTCTCAATTATCAGAATGTCCGACCAGTAGAGCCACGTTGTTTTGAACGGAAGGTGGTAAGCTGGCTCTGCGGCGTGGCAGGCTGTAGGAAAATTGGTTTGTCACTTGCATGTTCTACGATTACGAAGTGCATGAAAAGAAGTGAAACAATTTCAACACTGAAAAGGCATGCCAGCACCGGTCTTCCGAGCAGCAACTTGCAAAAGTCACAAAGACCGCCCCAACAGAAATCTTTTGCGTACTTGAGGCGGCGCCTGAAACCGATAGATAACTAAATATTGATAGAGGGTACGAACGGACTGTTCATAAACGTAAGCCTTGAGGGTACGTCCTCACTGGTGGTGCAGTTCGCTTCCGTGTTTTCATCTATTCAGTTGGCTGTACGAGTTCGGCGGGCACTTCTATTAAATAACTTGAAAGCTTGGATTAGACTGTGAAACAGGCGCATCTACTATTCTTTAAACTTGACGACACCAAAACAGAGTAGCCTGACGAGCTCCAATCCCTGATCCAAATGATCATATCACCTCACCTCCCCAGCGACTAAAAGCTATCAGTGGTGATGCCAACAAAGCAGACAAGTATATGCCAATTTGCCTGAAAATTATTTTTACAGAGGTTGCCTAGATGCTCATGAAGAAGAGTTTGCTGCAGCTGTTTCGGTGGAAAGATATCTTGACGCCCGCACAGCGTCAAAAAGCTGCTCGTGAAGATGCACGATTCAGAGTAAGTCGGTTGAGGTAATTAAAAAAAGATGTCAGTAGAGCGTATTATAACTTGAACCAGGAAGTCCTCATCCACATGCTGGGGGTTTGTAATGTTGGCTGCACACGGCTGCAGTGAATGTGCGAGTTCCTCGATGATGCTAGTGGAGGATACAAGTCAAAAGCTATCTGCTAGGCTGTGGCTTACATGGTTTCTAAATTGTGTCAGCGAACTACATCAAATTGTTCAGTCGCCTCCGGTCCTGTTTGCGACGGCGTGAAATGGTGGAGGATGACAAGAAATTCCAACGCCTGCAACCTACTTCAGCAAAATCTTAACCGCCTTTCTTACGGTTTGTAGAAGTCCTCCTGCCGGTCAGCACATCAAGTCGTCCTTCATGCTTCTGATTATACATGGTGACGGCCGAACCTACACTGTTGATGGCAAACTGTCATATCCCATTAACCATTGAGTTAAAGTTAGTGGAATACACGAACAGGTTACACACATTTGGCGTGCGCATGCGCCGTTTTAACACTATACAAAGCCTAGACTAGCTAATTTCATTACATGGGACAAGAAAACTGTAGGCATTTAAAACTTTGCTATAAGCGTTATTTAGGCAGATAAATTAAAACGTAACTTTATGTTACCACGGTCGTAGAATACAAATTACCTACGGTATTCAACTTATCAATATGTTTGCAATCGTAATAGGTTGGGGAAGAAACAGCAAGACTTGTGCCGGGGTGGCAAATGGTACAGTGTAGCCGTTTGTTCATCGACAGACTGTCAAGTATGAAATGTTTGGCCTTGAGGAGTTAAGGATAATAGGAAGTAAACACGTAATGTATATCATAATGCAAGTTTTAGAGGAAAACAAGTATACTTTTTGTAAGGATATAAGTGAAGGGTTTGGTAGAAGGGATAATATGTCCATAATAGGCAAACTAGTTTGACTGAATATTCAAAGTTTCTTTAGACTTTACATTCCGGGCGATCAAAAGCAGATCTTGCTTCTCGCCTTTTCTCCATCATAAGACTAGTGCTAGACCAGTCTATGGTCCAATCGTCGAAGCGATAAGCTGAAACTGAATTTGACTAACACGCCCTTGTGGGCTCATCCCATAGTTTAAGCGCCTTACTGTAAGTTGACAGATGCGACGGCCTGGGTCGGTAAACAGTGGGCTATCATCGGTAAGTGTCGACCGCATCAAGACCTACCGAATTCTACTTCAAGGTTGTCTTCTAATGAGGAAGATACTGAATTACTTGCGAACAATTTGAAACCAAAGCTGGTACTAATAAAGCTTGTTGACCCAGATCTGAAGTGAGTTTCTACTCACCCGTGCCTTAAACAGCGAGTGGTAAAAGTTTGGAACATTTCGCCGTAGGAACTAGTGAAATAAAACAAAATGAAGCAATTCAAGCATTGCTAGATG